GCAGGAACAGCTCTTACTCATCCAATCATAGGTACTTCCGATTAGCTAAAACTAAGTTGAATTAATCTAAAACTTCGTCACCGACTGGTTAAAAGCGGGTACTTATACCCAGATTAGCCAAAATATGTGAAAAGCACAATATTAATTACGTTAACGTTATTAATACAATAAATATTAATACCACCATCGCTTTTTTTTTGTCCTTGTGAAGTACGCCTAGTACTAAGTACGTACTCACATACTAGTACCGGTATTGTCGAAGTGTTCACTTGTTGAAGTTTTGCTCAGATACTCATGTTGATCGAACCCACGACCTTTGAGTTAAGAAACCGATGCTCTACCACCTGAGCTATTCCCCCCCCATACTCACGTTGGTGATTACCATCCAAAAATACCTGCATTCTCGTTCCGATCTCGTACGATTGGTCGATGGATTAACAGTGAAATAAGCTACATTAATCTATTTATGCTTAATTATTAAATTGCTTTCTTTACACAAGTATAAATGTGTTTATTTCATTGTAATTACACCTCTGAAATCCCCCATCCCCTTTCTGCCGCAGTTGTCAACTTCCCTCACAAGTCAACATGCTCACTGCTGCCATGTGGAGCGCTGCCATTGGCCTAGCTTCCGTGCTTGCCACTGCCTCCCACAAAGTCACGACCCTCCCGGGCTACAATGACGCCAAGCCCATCAACTTTGATCAGTATGCCGGCCACATTCCGCTGCCCAGCAACGGCCAAAACATGTTTTACTGGCTCGTGGAGTCCGAGTCCAATCCGTCGACGGACCCGCTCGTGCTGTGGCTCAATGGCGGCCCTGGCTGCTCGTCTCTCGGTGGCCTCTTCACCGAGTTGGGTCCATTTGTCGTCCAGAGTGACTTGAGCGTCAAGCGTAATCCGTACGCGTGGAACCGCAAGACCAACATGGTGTTCTTGGAGTCTCCAGCGGGAGTCGGCTTCAGCCAACCTGTCCTGAATGACACCGACTACAACGACAACTTTACCACCGACCGAGCGTACGAGTTCTTGGTCGAGTTCTACGCAAAGTACCCTCGATACAAGAACCGCGAGTTTTACATCACGGGCGAGAGCTACGCAGGGATTTACATTCCGTTCCTTGTGCACAAACTGGTCCAAGAGCCCATTTCGAATGTGAAATTGAAGGGATTTGCCATTGGAAATCCGTTTACCGACAGCGCCTCGGATGGTAAGTCCACCAGTATATATATAATATATATATATTGTCTCTTGTGAACATGTGATGGACTTAATATTGTTGTTTGTTGTAGCTGGCTCGTACATTGACTACTTTTACTCACACGCGTTGATTTCGCTGGAAGCGTTCGAAGAAGCGGCGGTTGTATGCCCTGGCAACTCGATTTCGCAATGCATGAATGGTAAAATGACCAATCCATGTTTCTATTGTCACATGCACGAAATGTCTCGTTACACAGCAGTACATACAGTACACGACTTGATGGAGTATGATACCTAAATTCGTGCGAATATGCACAAGTATATACTATTCTTGGCGATGTTATACGCCTGCGTCATAACTATCATATTATAGTAACGTTAGTTGGTTATTTCAATTGTAATCTCCACTCACATATGCCAATTCTACAATGGAATATTGATCTAAATTGTTGGCATATTTCATTCCACTTGATGCAATGGTACGTCAAATACATCTCGTCGTCGTATATATATATATATATATCGTATTTGTAATACTTTAGTGTTATAACTTTAGTGTTATGTTATACTTTAGTGTTATAACTTTAGTGTTATGTTATACTTTAGTGTTATGTTATACTTTAGTGCTATACTGTAAGTCCTATCGTGAATTACTACAGTTTCGTGACGACCTTGTGGATGTAGGAGGCCCCAACTGCACCCAAGCGTGCGCCGACTACTTTATGGACGTGTATACCTCGTCCAGCTTAGCCAACCCGCAAGCATTGAACCCATACAACATCTACGGTGATGTGTGTCTGTTGGGCGAAGGCCAATCTGGCGCTCTGCATTACCATAATATTCGCGCGTCGAGTCATCGGGGGGCGTACGTGCCGTGTCAGGATGACTACACCCAACGGTACCTGCAGCAGCCAGCTGTTGTACGAGCCCTGAACCTCGAGAGTACGACTACTAGTAGTACTACTACCACCCAAGTAGTAGTGCCCTGGTCAGCGTGCAATTTTGACATTGCCAAAAATTACCACCGGACTCCATCTACCCTGGACAAGTACCCCGTTATCCTCGAGGCTGGGTTGAAAGCGCTTATTTACAGCGGGGACGCTGACTCGGTGGTTAACTTTATCGGTACCCAGCGGTGGCTCACCAAGGGACTCAAGCTTTCCGTGCAAGACAAGTGGAAAGCCTGGTTTGGCCCGGATAAGCAACTGGCGGGGTACACTGAACGGTACACCAACTTGACCTTTACAACCATCAAGGGCGCGGGCCACATGGTGCCAGCCACAAGACCGCTGCATGCATTGTACCTGTTTGAGTGTTTTGTGTACGGTCAAGTGGCCTGTGACTCGTTTGCGTACCCCAAGGACGAACTCGAGTACTTGAGTGGCGCCGACTTGACTGCTCCCAGTGACATCGATAAACAACCTGAACAACGATCTAACCAGAGTTTGCTATGGGCGGCGCTGGGACTGGTCGTGGCGGCGGCGGCGGGTGTGGCGGGCACCGTGCTGTACTTGAACCGATCCAACAAGGCGACTCAGTATGTGGAGCTCACAGCTGGACAACCCAAGCCCGTGTACTCCAACTAGTTACAGTAGATTGATTGAGTAGATTGAGTGTGCATGTCGAATAATCAAATGGTGCCTTGTGTACCGAATAATGTTAGTGTAAAGTTTTGTGATAGTTGGTGTTTATCGCTGGATGTGAACAGTAGTACTGTATCGCATGTAAAGTTCCTGCAGACAAAAGGGTTGAGTACTTACTGTACGTACAGTGGCTACAGGACGTAGTACAGTAAGGAAGGGCCCGAAATATTACAATATTCTGGCCCAAAACGCGATTTTGGGGCCGTATTCAACAAATCTGAGATCAAAATTCCACGTGGGAATTACTCGTTAAAGAGGTCGAAAACGCCATATTACAAAATGGACCCTATTACCTCCATTTTGAAAATAGTACTTTTCGTTAATCCCATTTTGCCAGAAAAGGAAATATTATGAAAATGGCATTTTTGATTTATCCCATTTTTTGCCAGAAAAGGGAATATTATTTTTGAAATGTTACCACCCATAGCCTTTTATTAAAACATGGTGGGGTTGTACGAACGGTGGATAAAAGGATAAGGTCAAAATTGCAATAATTGATGGCATTAAACCCATGTACAGTGTACATACAGTGCGTGCTCCATAAGACTACTAGATTATTGCGAACTATATCTACCGACTGGTGAACTGCCTGAACGCCTCGATTCCTCGTGGCTATGGTTGGGCAACACTACTACTTCACCTGTTACTAGTATGTAGTACTAGTACATTCGACAAAGGTGTTCATTTTCCACCATGATGAGGAGCAGACATAGTTCTGATGTACTACGTAGTAGTACTACCCTCGAAGTACGAATATATTTATAGTATTCGAAAGCATACACTATTTGCAACGTGTGCAGATCGATTGGTAGGCATGCATCGATCTCAACAAATCGAGAGCTGTTTTGTGATTCCTCTATATTTTTACTACATCGACAAGCTTATCACACTTCCTTGGGTGGCATGTACTGACGGTACTATAGTAGTAGCCGCAGTATGTAGTGGCACGTTATCACGCCCACCTTGAATGGGGCTCGCATGTTGTTAATTGCCAAAGCCCGCCAGAACAGGGACATGCAGTTGCATCTCCAGCAGACGAATGTGCGCATGCTGGTCGTTCAACGTGGCCGCAAACCCTGGCGCGTCCAGCTCCTTCCCCGTAGCTTTGTACCCCCTGCGTTCGTAAAACACTCGTAAATCGTCTCGAATCGACACCACAGAGATATCCAGTCGGATGTCGCGGGTCAAGGCGGTGGCCTGCCGCGCCACGAGCGCTTCGCCGACGTCCATGAGCCGATTGCCAATCCCCCGCTTGGAGAATTCCTTGGGCACGCTCAGCAACGACAGATGCCCGACCAGCACGTCGTCGTCACAGGACTCCCATGACACGTACACACAGCCAGATACGACCGACGACGTCGTCGCGGCGTTGCCGTCGGCGTCAGTCTCGAGGACTTGCTCGGCCACAAAGATGGTCGAGTTGGCCGTCGACAGCAGCCGCCGAATCTCGTGTAGGTTGCACCGATGCTGGCATTCCGGCTTCTTCAAGTTCAGGTTGGCTGGCCGAAAGGCCTCGTTGATGCACGTCACGAGCGCAGATTCGTCGGCGGACGTGGCGTGGCGAGTGCGGATCATAATGCCGCTGATGCTGCTGCTACTCGTGGCTTATTTTTTCGAAAGTTCGAGCGATGATAACCTGAACGTTACAGCCAAATAAGGTAAATCAATTACAGTATTGACACCAAATTGTGATACTCTCTGACTTTTAGCCAATAGCATCTCGATATTTCGTGTTGGCCTTGTATGATTGGATATGATAATATTCGTCTCTATATTTTATTACACGTCTGAAGTCTGGTCAGTTTTTTTCAATCCCAAACAAAAAAATACTACACCTTTTTTCTATTGAGTTGGGACTTTTTTCAACGTTGTTGGCTTGGCGCTCATTCGAAAGAGCGATGTGTCCATCCATTTGGCCTTGTGGCCAATAGAATTGACACTTAGTGCCGCAACACCCTTTGAAATGTACCATACTACCAATGGAAAAGGCTCCACTACCCAACAATGTGCCAAGTACCATTTCGAATCTGCCGTGCTTGAAGTGGAGTTGGATCGAATATAACATTATATTATCAAATACGCGACGGCATGAAAAAAGCAGATAAAATCATCGAAATTTGCAGCAAACAGCTACATGTCGACGTCCATGTCTTCCATTAGGTCCGCACGACCGTAGAAGTACTCCAGACGAGGGGATGCGCTTGTATTTCTTGCGTGGCTATGAACATGGCTAGTGTATCGTGAGCGACGACGTCGTACTGGTGTCTGTGGTGCAGCGCTCTCCATTGGTTGCACGGAATGCGATTTTGAAAAGTGAAAAAAATGGGCGCGAAGATCGCCCAACTGCAGCCTTCTAGAATATTCGATCCAATTCAACTTCAAGCACGGCAGATTCGAAATGGTACTTGGCACATTGTTGGGTAGTGGAGCCTTTTCCATTGGTAGTATGGTACATTTCAAAGGGTGTTGCGGCACTAAGTGTCAATTCTATTGGCCACAAGGCCAAATGAATGGACACATCGCCCTTTCGAATGAGCGCCAAGCCAACAACGTTGAAAAAAGTCCCAACTCAATAGAAAAAAGGTGTATTATACTAATAGTATTTAACAGTAAATAGAATGCCAACTAGAAACCCTTGAAGCTGTCCCACCATACTTGCCTACGAGAGCGTCACGGCAGTTGTGCATAGCTACGTAATACATGGAAGTACTCACTTTAGAGCCATCGCTACCATAGGCGAAGATAAGCAGCGTATTACTCCTCCCAACAAGTGGATGGCCTCCACTATGCCACAGTGAATTGAAATGTGATTGCATTTTTTTACGCTGACTAATTAAATACATTTTATTTCGTATAGCGAAATGCGTGCAATTATATTTTTGATCAAATTATTTTGCATATTAATTCAAACGAATACAAACAAGGTTTTTAACTGTAAGGAGTGTCATGAACTGGTTCACGTGTCTCCTCCAAAATCGTGACCATCAGCTCAAAAGATTTAATTTCGATACAAATCTGAAATGTAGTCCTATCATGCTCAATGATACGTCAAAAAAATGGTGGCGTTTTATATTCTCTAGTGGTGCTATAAGCATTAAAATAATCGTTCTCGTTCTCGAGCGACTGGGGTTTGAAGTTATGGCCAAAACTTGACCAAAAACAGTGTCAATAATTGATGCATTACCATACACCAATTTCGCCGCATTTCGCATCCGGCTAATATTACTCAGCGTATTTTATACTAACGTTAACGTTATTATTAATAATAGTATTTATGCTATATTCAGGCCCAAAACGCCATTTTGGGGCCGAATTCAACAAATCTGATCAAAATCGAAACATGTTTTGCTTGAAGAGTTTTAACCCAAATCCAATAATTCCATGTGGGATTTACTCGTTGAAGATGTCCAAAACGCCACATTACAAACTAGACCTTCTACCTCCATTTTGAAAATGGCATTTTGGTTAATTCCATTTTGCGAGAAAGTGGTATTATTTTTGAAATGTCACCAGACGCACACCCTAATTAAGTGTTCGTGGAGTATACCAGGATACAGTATGTATGAGCTATGTACACCCGACCTGCCTTTGACTTTATGGATACATCAACGCTGTTGACGTGGTATTGTCAAATCGATTCGGAACTGGAGCCCTCGGGAGAATCGAATGTCTTAGGAGAATCGATTAAAGATCCGCCTGAGCCAATGAAATCACGTCATGTCAAATTTCTGCCAATCCAAACGTTTGACTCCTCCGATTGGGCAAAACCAATATATACTCATCGTTGTATAGTATAGTGTATACAAAATTAAATAACATATCAAATGATTCGAGTGCTATGACTCTCAAGTCCAAATTTGGGTACAATGTTATGTGATTAACTAGTATAATGAATGAGAGCAATCTGTACGAGTTCCCATGTAACGTTAGTACTGTATTATTACCTGGTACAATGCAGGGACGTCCGCAGTTTACCAACGTTTTCAGTGTTTGATGTCATACTACGTAACAGACTAGTATTTGCGAAGCCGCCTTGCAAAAAGAGTACAGCGGGCGGAGGGGGTAGGGTATTAATTTAGACACTCGAGAGCAAAAACGGTGCAGTGTACTAGTACGTACGTACAGTACTTACAAACCCTCAGCAAAACCGTGAGATTTAATTCTCAACCTCGGACACATTTACGTTAACTTTCGGTGTATAGTGTACCTGTAAAGTATGTCAATGGGAAAATGTGATCGAAAGTTCAGATGATGACATACTGGGGCGTCCGTTCTACCAAGTGAGCGATAGGAGTTCCTCTTCACACCAACACGAAACAGTGTGTATCAATCATCTCATGATCAACGACGTAGAATTGCTCTATACGTTGATTCAACGTACCAGTATAACGTTAGAGCAATTCTACAGTAATGAGCACTTTCTGGCATTGCTAGTGTCTTTTGATTGGCTAACACCGGCCAATGGCGTTCGTTGGGGACAGTCAGAGTAACTACACCACCTCGTGCTTGCTTGTCATCGCCATCCTGTCGACTGTTGCTGCTGTGACGATGACTCCCAGCCAATTCACCAGTGTCGCAGTATTTGGTGCTGCTGTAGCGTGGGCTGTAAAGACCACAAAGCCTCCAAACCCACACAAAGTCAAGTCGCTACCTCATTACAACGACGCCAAGCCCATCAACTTTGACCAGTATGCCGGCCACATTCCTCTGCCCAGCAACGGCCAAAAGATGTTTTACTGGCTCGTGGAATCCGAGTCCAATCCATCCACGGACCCGCTGGTGCTGTGGCTCAATGGCGGCCCTGGCTGCTCGTCTCTCGGTGGCTTCTTCACCGAATTGGGCCCATTTGTCGTCCAGAGTGACTTGAGCGTCAAGCGTAATCCGTACGCGTGGAACCGCAAGGCCAACATGGTGTTCTTGGACTCCCCAGCGGGCGTTGGCTTTAGCCAGCCGCTGCTCAATGCGTCCGACTACACCGACGACTTTACAGCCGGTCGACTCGTCGAGTTTCTCAAGCAATTTCTCGTGTTGTACCCTCAATACAAGAACCGCGAGTTTTACATCACGGGCGAGAGCTACGCCGGCATGTACATTCCGTTCCTTGTGCATAAACTCATCACAGACCCCGTGGAGAACCTCCACTTGACCGGGTTTGCCATTGGAAATCCCTTCACCGACACTGTGATTGACGGTACATTCAACACATTGCAATCGTGTGTCGAGTCCTTGTATGTTCTAACTTGTACTATATATGTTTGACGGTATCTTGTTGCATGATGGTGTATCTAGTCTTATATACCCCCCAACTCTATGTTTTATATGGTCTGTACTATTTCGTTGCATTTTGCATCGTGTATGTATCTATCGTCGTACTCACCTTCCTAACTTTTGTACGTGTAATTAGCATCAGCGACGTTGGAGTACTACTACACACACGCGCTCATATCTCTGGAAACGTACGAAGTCAGTCGACAAGTGTGTGGCGCGACGGGGGTTTCAGGGTGTTTTTACGGTAGAGCACTTTATTCTCTGTATATATTAGTAACTATTGTGTTTTGAGCCAAAATATGGATGATTTTTGTGCTTATTCATTCACCAACTCCATCGGTCGATTTTGATACTGAATGGTGTATTGTCTATCTTTTACCCAAAATGGGGATGACTTTTGGGCTGATTCTTTGCCAAATCTATCGATCGATTCTTTGCACTACTGGCGTTGGTATGTAAGAAGTGTCGGATGTTACACTAATTCAGTCACACACTAATTCGATATTGACTTCGTCCAAGTTGGTTAGTGTTGTTCTGGATGTTGATTCGTCGATCGATTGAGCACCTTCTCCAATTTACGAATCAAGTTGTGATTTCATTCACACTATTTGCAGTCACACACGAATTCAATTATTCCTGGAGTTTGATTGGGCACGCGAAAGTAGTGTTTTTGGTCATATACACAATACTACAACACAATATATATATATATATTCCTCATTTCCATTATTGCGTAGGCGGCAACATATGCCCCCAAGAGTGTCTAACCTTGCTCCTCGAATCTGGGTTTGGTCACAATATTCAGAACCTCCTAGACCGATCCGATGTTTACGGCGACGTGTGCCTCCTCACGCAAGTGACATCGTTGAGATCGTCGATGCCCCAACAACTCACCAGTGCCAACCCCCGTCGCAGGTCGTCGGCGAAGCTCGTCCGTCCGCTGACTCACCGCGGGGTTATTGGTCCCTGTCAAGCCCTGTACACGGCGCAGTACTTGCAACTGTACGCTGTGCAGCGTGCTCTGCATGTGTACGACATGCATGTCAATTGGGTGAGCTGCAACCCCCGGGTCACCAGTCGGTACACGCGCACTCGGTCGGCCCTGCCAAAGTACCCCACGATCCTCCAAGCCGGGTTGAAAGCTCTGGTTTACAGCGGGGACGCCGACGCCACCGTGCCATTCTTGGGAACGCAGCGGTGGCTGACTACACCTAATATGGACAGCAATGTCAGCGACGGCCTTGACTTGTCGATCGTGTCGCCGTGGCAGTCATGGGTGGGTCCAGACAAACAACTGGCGGGGTACACTGTACGGTACACCAACTTGACGTTTACAACGGTCAAGGGCGCGGGCCACATGGTGCCGGCCACAAGACCACTGCATGCGTTGTACTTGTTCGAGTGTTTTGTGTACGGTCAAGTGGCGTGCGACTCGTTTGCGTACCCGAAGGACTCGTTGGAGTACTTGAGTGGCGCTGATATAAGTGTCGGCTTCGATGGAGGGAGAGGCGAAGGCGCGCTGATTCCGTGGGCGATCACGGCCGTGGTGGTCGTGCTCGGGTCGATGTTAGGCCTCGTGTTTTGGGCCAAGAAAGAGCCGGACCAGGTCGTCGAGTACAGTGTAGATAAGTCAACGACCACTCGGTCCATGTCAACGTTAGGCATGTATCGATAAGATGGCGGCGGCGACGATGAGTTAGCAGGTCAAGTACCATATACAATATTGTCGATTTGATACAAATTTGGGGACCAAACTGATCCACAATCGATCTGATTGGTTGAATTTCACTAAGAAGGTTTTGATTGGCTAATAATTTTGAGCTCATCTGAAGTAGCCAATCAAATCGATTTAAATTCCAACGAGAAACCACGCCACAACACGAAATTTCACTCGAAAGCACAATACTCCGGAGTATTCATATCGCACTTATCGCGGCGAGGTTTCACAGATTGAAATGTCCGAGTATTATTCTCGGTTTTGGATGGATGTACTATATGAATACGTATAGCAGCCACATGACGACGACAAATACGTCAGTTGTTTCCGGTATAATTGGACTGACTACTATGCATAGTACAACTCAACTGTAAGTCCATTGATCGCCCTGTTTGGCTGAATTTTGGCTTCGAATGTTATATTATAACAGAGAAAGATTAATATAACATTTGCGAAACATATACGCAGAGGATACATCCAGGACAAAAGGCCAAAGCCCAAGTCAACGAAACTACAACAGTTGTGTTGTATCGTTTCCATACAAAGCCAACACTACTGTACGTACCCCATATTAGCTCACAAGAATTGTATACACCTACTAGAAATATTTATTCATACAAGCCCTAACGTTACTAGAATTTTATGCATCTCCTAGTATTAGAAATATATATATACTTCGCTACTCCAGTTATGCACTATTAATAGTAGTAAATCGTTAACTGTAAAGCTATGAGTTTAGCATTGTCAATCCAGTATATATTGCCTTGTATCGTTAGCACGAGTGAATGTGTGACGATGTATTATGGTTACTGGTGCAAGCATACAATACTACTAGTATACGTACAGTCCTATACTCCTGGTGGTGGTGGTGACAGCATCTTTTGCATTTCCACCAAGTGCACGTGGCGATGGGTATCGTTCAAAATCGCGGCAAACTCGGGACTGTCGATGACGTTTCCTGTGACACGGTACCCCTTGCGCTCGTAAAATGCAAACAAGTCCGGTCGCGCCGACACGACACTAATATCCATCCTCGACGGCTGTTGGCTTGTCGCTTGGCTGGCCACGAGAAGCTCTGCCGCTTGCACGAGGCGCCCGCCCACGCCTCGTCGTTCAAACTCGTTGCGGACACTCACGCTGGAGAAGTTCCCGACCACGGTTGCATCTTGATGCACAGTCCATTGCACGTAAATGCACCCACATAGATCGCTTTTGCGGCCGTCGGCACTGATTTCCGCGACAAGGTACGTCGAGCGTGGCGCGGCCAACATCGCGAGGACGTCGGCCATACTCACCCGATTGAAGTGTTCCTTGGTCTTGAAGAACGCGTCGGCCTTGAATGCATCGTTGATGCACGTCAAGAGGAAGGATGCGTCCGCGGCGGTGGCTGGTCGTGTATCAATCGTTACCGCCATGGCCGTAGATAGATACATGGTTGGAAATAAGATGCACGTGTTGACAGCGAGTTGGATGCATCACAATATCACACCATTTATGTCCACGTTGTTGGAAGTGAAGGTGAGAAATGCATGGTGACGTATTGCGAACAACCCGACGACGGAATAATCACAAGTTGGCGAATTGGCTGGTCGAACGGGATATCGCTAAGCTTACAGTTTGATATCAATTGGTTAGTTTTATATCTTAACGGTCGTTACGACATACCGGTAGTAGTAACAGTTATACATGTACGTATAACGTAACGAGTCAATTTATAAATTGGCGCATCTCATCCAATGAACATTCAATACTTCAAGGCCACCTAACTGCTGTAATACCTCCTTAAACTTGATGAAACAAGTTCCATTCGATCAATCACAACCTCAGCTTTATGGGGATATAAAATTATCAAAAAATAGATAAAATTTGCAACATATTTTCGAGCTATCTTCGACAAAAAAGGTGTCCATAAATTGCCTCGTTACGTTACTACAGTACATCACTGCCTCATTCTTTAGAGCATCCCCACCGGTGCGACTGTAAACGCTATTATACAGTTCTATCCGGATTATTTACAGTTTTGACAACCCCACCGGGCGACTGTAAAATACAGGAAACTGTAAAATTTTACCGCGAGACGGCAAATCGGCCAGATTTACAGTCGCGACTGTAAAATACAGTTTTGACAAATTAGCCAATAACATGCTATCAATGGATAATTTTGTCCAATCATGTGCGTTATGGAGTCAATAATCAGTTGGTTCAGAAATGGAATCAGCCAAGGCCGTCCGTGGTTCCAACTTCACGACCGACGAAGACTGCCAGCTTGTCCGGTCATGGATCAACATCTCTCAAGATGCGTCCAAGGGTAGTACTCATCACGCATCACCACACCGTCCATGATTCGTTCAAACAGCGGTCTGGCCATTCGAAATTGATGGCGAAACTTGGCTTCGCCGTAGATTGGATTGGGGTCAAAGTAGTAGGTAAATCCGAGCATGCGCAGCCTCGCTATCTCGTGGTAGGTCTGGCTGGCGGTTGGCAATAGAGCCTTTAGGGCGCGCAGAAGACTGATGAAAGCCAAGAATCTCCCAAGCTTGATCCATGTCATCATCGTCGTCCTCCCACGCCATCGCGCCAGGCGTTCATTTCCGGATAATAACATTATTCGGATGTTTTACAGTTTTACCGCTGGGGTTGACAAAAATCAAAATACAGGAACTGTAAAACGGTATTATACAGTCTGATTATACAGTCGCACCGGTGGGGATGCCCTTAGCTATCGCTTGGACATTGCAGTTGTGATTTCGATTTCCTTTTGCATTCTATATTTTGTTATCTTGGTGTATTCCCATCAAAAAGGGTTAAAAAGTGACCCCTCGTTGAGCGGCCAATTCTATTACCACTGCCGCGTCCATAACTTTTACGTGAAGTCTGTACACGGGCATGGCTCGTTTAGTGGTGAATTCCACGTATTGTGAAGAGAGTATTCGGACGAGTATGTACACCACTGGCGTATGAGTCCTCGAGAACTTCTACGCATTGTACTCCACGTACCGCGGCTATTACACTTTTGAAATGGCCCGAGTTCACTGTACACTGTACGGTACACCAACTTGACGTTTTTACGACCATCAGTAGAATGTTATTATAATTCACACGATGTGGTAATATTATTATAATTCACACACCGATCTATGCAGTTCGTTCGATATTTAAATACTGCGTCCTTACAAAACAAATATGCCTTTACTGTACAGTCGGTACCATTTATTAACAACCGTTTTGTATACTGGCACGTACGACAAAGTACATTTCGTCGTGTTTTTGCCAACCTTCTCAACATGATCGACGTTCAAAGGGGATTCCGCGCCATTCGCGATGTCCGGGTGATTGGGTTCTACAGCGCCAAGGACATCAGGTCCGACAAGCACTACGTCGTGTATGTCATCGAAGTCACCCTCGACCCGTCCATGTCCACAGCATCGTCGTCGTCGTCGTTCCTCGTCTACCGGTGTGTGTGACGCCCAACTCCCCCTCGTTGTAACTCAGGCGACCTCGTCTAGGCGGTACTCTCAGATCGCGATCCTTTCGACCAAGTTGCACTTTGAGACGTCGGTGGGCCTTCCGCCAAAGTATGCGTTGCAACCGTACCCGCTCTCGGATGAACAACTCGCCCATCGGTACACGTAGTCCTTTCTTGCATACCCCTGGTGATGGTATCGACGGGCGATGTATTAGATACGACGGGTTGCGGCACTTTGTGGAGGAGATCTTTGCAGAACTCAAGCGCCGATGCGACGACATCCACGACGACTCTGGCGCTCCGTCGTCGATCACAAGTCGTCGGGACATTCAGGTACACAACATTGGCGGACGAATCCCATTCCTCCGCGTATCCATCATCACATGGAATGTCTCCATGTGTTGTTTTACGAACTGTCTACAATTATATGCTTATATGCCTGTCTTGCTCACAGAACCGACGGCCATCACATGTACCTGTTGTTGTCCATGGAGTATTATTGTTGTATGCTTGATATATATATACAGTATATATTGTCGATTTGATACAATTTGGGGACGGGGTGCAATCGAATCGCGCCGACCAAACCGATCCACAATCGATCTGATTGGTTGAATTTCACTTAGAAGGTTTTGATTGGCTAATAATGTTGAGCTCATCTGAGGTAGCCAATCAAATCGATTTAAACTCCAACGAGAAACCACGCCACCACACGAAATTTCACTCGAAAGCACAATAGTTATATAGTATATATGCATGTAGTCGTGCTCGACGAACTGCATAGTTTTCTTTCCAAGCTAATATTTGCTATAATGATTGACCTATACATGATATTCATAATTATGACTATGTAGATCGTTTTCGAGTTTTTGCTCAAGCTAATATATTATTTGCCATAACAATTGATATCAACATATGCATTGGTTGTAGATCTTTTCCGAGTTTTTACATTTGCACAAAAACCGGCCGCCGCCGCCGGCGCACCCGC